CAGCCACCATGTCAACTCAGCCACAATGTCAACTTGATCAACCACTTAGATCAACATGATCATTGTTAGAATCTGAATGTTCTCTAGGATTTTATTTTTAACTCCATTTGGCCGATGCAGAAGCCGAGGGATCCCCTGTGGTCTCGCAAGCCCCTGGCCTCTGTGCTGCCCAGGCAGGCGGGGCCCAAGGAGTCTTCCACTAAGAGGAGCTGCTGCCCAAATCCTCTTCTCTACTTCTCTGCAGACAGTAATGACTATGAAGTTCCCTCCTCCTCTAAAGAGAGCAAATGTCTTAAATTAAGGACCTTGCTCCTTACAGAGGTCTGAGGCCAAGGCTACTTATTTAAAACCGAGTAGAAAAATTTCCCTGGTGAACCAAACAAATACATATTTTCTAATACTTTTAATGCTTCATAAATCAGATGTTTCTGATTTATGGACTGGACCTGCGACAACACTATTAAGAGCCCCAAACTGCCCTCAATTTGGAAACCCCCAGCTGCCAACCAGGAATCTTCTACAAGTTTACAGGCCAAGGATAGAAGCCTCAGTGCGTCCATTAAGGGCCTCACGAGTCCAAGGGTTAACCAAAGTCAGAGTCTTGGGTGATGCAAAGAATGTATCCTTAAGCGTTTGAGAGCCCACGAAGGGTAGGCCTGTCTTCAAGGTCGAGCTGATGCTGCAGCGCTCCAGAAGTCAAAGACGGCCTGCACGGTCTGACCACCAGCCTCATTGCCGCAAGGAGCTCTGGGTGGTGCCGGCACCACCACCCAATCCCCAGATTTCCCCAGGCTCCCTGATGCGCCCGAGGTTAATCCTTCTACTGCCAATTAGGCCCCCTAAGCAGGGGAAGCGATTACAGAGCTGCAGGATTTGGATGAGCTTTCATGGAATCTTACAGCTCAAAGCACTCTGGGAGTCCGATGATTTCCAGACTGTATTTAGCAATAGGATATCTTTCTCCCCAAAGAGAATGGTAGCTGGGAATCCACTATAGACTATGGGCAAAGAAGAAACCGCTCTGGCGGATGCAAAGGGGCTAGAATGATCTGCAGTCTCCTCCCCACCCCTTGGCTTTCCCTCACCTCCTGTGCTGGCTACTGGAAAGACTCGAGGGCTCTGAAGAATGTGGTTGGAATTTACTGCTCAAGTCCAGCACCTGCTGTCCGCAGAGCGGGGCGCTCGGGCACAGAGAGCAGGGTTCCAACGCCAGATCCGCAGCTACCCAGCTGCGAGCCTGAGCTTCGGAAAGGGGTTCACCTCTCCCCACTTTAGTTTCCTCAGGGTGTAGCCATCAAACATTTACCTCCAACCCTCCACAGTGAGCATGTAAGATGACTGCCTGCATGAGAAGTCCTCGATGAATGGTTAACTGCTGCTCAGTTTAAGGAGTTAGCCTCAGGGCACAGAACTAGTTACCAGCACATGTAGAGATAATTGACCCCAAACCTCTGTACTCTCTCCCTCTGCTCGCAGATTCCCTTCACCCACTCACTCTTCTCCTTCCAGGTTATGTTCGCTCTGTTTGTGTCCCTTTTGTGGAGGACGTGGTCCCCAAAACAAAACCCCAACGTACCCGAAATGAGCAGCAGGAGGGAAAATGACCTACACTGAAATAATTATTAGAAGGGATATAATCCCCTCCACTGAGAAAGAAACTTGCCCGTGAGTGCTACTTCCGGTTCATTTTTAAGGACCTCTCCTTGGCAATCTCATTAGCAAGCCTCTACCTCATAGCAAATTAATAGCAAGTTAATTCTCCTGTTACCCTAACAGAATTGCTCCAGGTCCCCATTGCTAATGTCTTTCTGTGATGTCTTTTCTCCATCAGTAGCAGCTGCTGTTCCAAATTCTGTCTGTTCCCCTGACTAAGGAGCCAAGAGGATAGAGCTAGCCTTAACCAGACATCACAAGTAACACCCAGAGGTCTAGAGTTGCCTTACCTGTCTTCATACGCTAACCTCCTGCAAGTATGCTGACCGCAGCCCATTCGAAGAAGGCACATTTAAAAGGTAATCCACACCAGAGTGAAATACTTCATGAACCTTGACCCACCCTGAGGCACAGAGCTAGGACTGTGTCCACCTGGACTCCTAAGGAAAATATAATGAACTAGAACAACTGGAACATTTTTAGATTGACTTCCATCCCTTCAGATTCTTTTATATGTAAAAAGTTAACTACCCCGTGCTCAGCAACCACATTCCACGAACAGAATCTGACAAAATTGTATCAGGGGCCAGTGCGGCCTTTGCCTTGGAGCTTCCAACAGTGATTCCATGTCAAAGGACACCAAATGCAGAGTTTAGAGCACAGCTGTGACCTTCCAGTCTCTACCGGGTGATTCATCACTGTCAATTAGTATGGACCTTATTATAAAATACAGAATTCACCATCTCTGTGACTTAAGAGTGTCTGTGAGAAGCTAAGTAATGGAAGAAAGAAAGCAGGAAAAGCTTACACTGAGGAATTAACTGTGTGACTGGGAAATCAATGACTATTTTGTTCCCCAAATATGAAGTGTGATGCAATTAAGAAAATGTAATGGTATAGGTTTTCTTTCTCTCTCTCTCTTTTTTTTGGGGGGGGGGTACCAGTCTTTTAAAATGTCTGATCATATATGGAGAATTTCTGCACTTAGGCTTGTGATATAATTTTTAATATAAATAATTAATTGTAGTGTGCCACATACGCATTATAACATCAACCCCCTTGAGTAGTGCAAGAAGTGTATCTAAGGCAATCATTCCACCCCTCCCCCAACTCACTATCCTATGTCCAGATGACAAGATTTCCTCATTTCCAATCATGTATTCCTCGTTACTTCTGTGAGATGAAAGCAAGCTCCCTTGTGTGTACAGGGAGATCTGCCAATTACCTTCCAACAGCATTTCTAGTTTTCCACGAGAACACTCCTTCCTTAATTTAATATATGTCCTTAAGAAGTTCAATTGCCAACTAACCAACAGAATTTTTCTGGTAGCAAAAAGCTTAATGTAACTGTAGTCACTGGTAAAATGCTATTGGATTATCCATCAGGATGGATATATGTGTACACACACACACACACACACACACATACACACAACCACACATACACATTATACAGGATGAAAACTTGAAGGTCTCCTCCAATCTTAAAAAAAAAAATGTCAAAAATGGCCTAAGTAATATATTTCTTACTAAGCATAGCTGAATGGGACCCTGGCAAGAAAGGTTATTTATTCCCTGTAACTCAATCTTCTCAGAAATTATGAACTGCTGATTAGTGCCATGGGACATGGTGCTAGGGGCATATTTCAGAAATTATGATACATTTTTCTGTGCATATTATGGTAATTTAATTTCCTTTTCCCTACTTTAAAAGAAAATTGCAATTACCAATCTTTACTCATAACACTTGGTTAAGGGCATCTACATTTCATTTTGTACCACCAGAAGCCCAAAAAATTTTCTGATGAGTTTAAAAACATCACAAGGGATTAGGTCATAACTCACCAGTGCTTTCTAACACAGACACAAACAACTTCTGAAACTTGGTATGCTAGTTTTGATTCGCACATGGAAATCTTATTAGCCCAGGATGGGATCACATTATTAAAAATAGTATGTATAGGAAGTTTTACAAATATTTGAAGCCAACAAGGTATATGCAATATTAATAAATGCACAGGCAATACGGACACACAGATTCACATTGTTGAAAGACATCTGGATTGATCACAAAGACATTTAGTCCATCATATAAAGATTATACTCTTTTTAAACATGAATTTACGAGTTTTTCTTTATGGATATAGTTCTGACATAATGATGCTTTAATAGGTCTCTCCTTGTCTTCAAATAAGATGAAAAAAACTTACACCACTAACCCCTTACCTTCGAATCTTAACAAGCTAAAAGAGGGAGGGAGGGAAGAAGGAAGGAAAGAAGGAAGGAAAGGGGGAGGGAGGGAAGATGGAGGGAAAAAGGGGAAAATGGGGAGGAAAGGAGAATAACCCTTTCTTAATTCCAATACCTAACTCCTATCACTGAAGAGAATTATGTTACAATATAATTCTTTCATATACTCATAAATAGTATTTCATGACAGAATTTGTAGTTACTTTGTCTTTGGCAGATAGGAAAACACAGAAGAAAATTTTTAAAAATGTAATTTTCTGTGCATTTCCGTTTATCACAATGATGATAAACTTCTCAACTTACCCCCAAATACCGAGTGGACTGGCTTTTGTCTCCTGAAGAAATCATTTTATGTTACTAATAGCGAAGTCCTCTAAAAGCCCCAAATTAGCCATCAGGCTGAGGCTGGGATTGAGCTAGTCCCAGCTGAGGCTGGGGCTGAGTTTGGGAGAAAGGAAAGTAGCCAAGTATAGTTGGGCTGCCTATAGGGAACGCCAGTTGGGTCTACAGCGGACTAACGGGGGAAAACGGAACTGCAAACAGGTAACAGATTATAAAGCAACATACAAACATTGTTATTATTATTGGTAATGATTAATTATAATAATAACAATAATTATAACATTTTTAACATTGATCATTTTGATTCACATAACCAAAATGCAACTATACGGAATGGAAATCAACAGATTAGTAGTCAACTACAGGTCTGCTTTGCCTAAGAGCTGTGGATAAGGAAAACCAATAGCTCCAAAATTCTTCCCTGTGGAACCTGCTAGAAGGCTCACTGAAGCCGCAATAGTTTCTGCTCTTGGAGTAGAGATTCAAGCTGACTATTTTGCATTTGTTTCAAAACCTTAAGGAAATTATATTCTCTTTTCCCTCAGTATTGACCCTACCACTTCAAGCCATTTTAATTTCATTTCAATAGAGGAATTTAAACTAAAATTTTATATAACTTATTTAATAGTATTCCTTAAGAAAGACTGAGACTAAAAAGCATGTACAAAGCTATACATCCATTCAGTGGATTCAAACACATATATTAAAGGAAATCTGCACCAAAACATAGTTTTGGGGACTAAGTTTGACGTTACCTCTGGTACTCCTAATTTTCGGCATGCTTCCAAAAAGTTTTCCACATTTCTTCTGCATTTGGCCATGCTAAGTTTGGGCTAGAAATACAAATATGCAGAAATAATGAATTATTAAGAGAGAAATAATTTTAGTAACAGGTTAAATTTTAAACTTTCTAATGCCACAACTAACACATGTTCATGGGAGAAAAAATATATATTCAAAAAGAAGACAATAAATATCATCTAGAAACATCTACCTAGAGATAAGAATTATTAAGATTTTGGATTCTATTCTTCCAGACATTGTATATGCTGTGGTGTGTATATACGTGTGTGTGTGTATAAAGATGTAAGTAAATGGGGCACCTGACTCATTCTACGATGTTGCCTGGGTTTAGGGTAGAAAAGCACTTGCTATAAATACAATAGTTAGAGATTCAACCACACCAAGGGCTGAAGAGTCAAAATGGCACCAGCCTGGTATACAGAAAATGGACAATAATAGTTTTGCGAATGAAAAATTAGAATGCTTAATGCTGACAATAATGTGGCTAGAAAAAGGCACCTAGTGCTGTCGGGGCAGCGATGATGGTGCAAACAGAGGGTTTCCCGGGGGTCAGATACTCTGCTCCGGGCTAAGTGTGTACCTGTGGAAGCCAAACACACAAGCTTCATGGTCGCTTAGCTCCAGTCCAGTGGGAACTATTGGTAAGCTGAAGGAGATTACAGTACAGTATGGTAGAGGTTTTGGTTGTGACATGACGATAAGGAGGGTAAAAAAAAAAAAGCAAGGAAAAGAATCTAACTCCATTCTACAGGGTCAAGAATAGCTTAGCTCCTGGAGATGCTGAAGTAGAGGAGAAATGGGAGCCTGCGTGGCTGCAAGGTGAGGGGATGTGGAGAGAGGGTAGGGAGCAGCCTTCCGGATTAGTGAGCACAGCCTGTGCAGACACTGCATGGACAGTGAGGGCTCGGACCAGGACCCAAGCAGGCTCCAACGTGCAGCATGGCCGGGCTGCTCAGAGGAGCTCTGAGACACTCACTCAAGAATGTTTGCTAAGTGGACATTTGGAAACAGCCCATATCTCTAAAAAGGAGAACTGTGATATGAAAACATAAGCTAAAATATCTTACAGTTATTAAAATGGGTATTTATGAAGGAATTTTGATGGCATGAGGAAACTCTAGATTTTGGTAAGTTTTAAAAACTACTAAATGGTATCCATGAGGAGCTCAGAATTCGGGAACAACTTAAATGCAGAAAGGATGCTAGTAGTTTGTAGAGAAGCCAAAATGTTAACAGTAGTCTTCGGCTTATGGAATAAAGGCTGCTGGGTTGTTTTTTTTTTTCCTTCCCCTGGAGTTTCTGTATTTTCTCTTGTTGGGCATTATTTCCCGTTATTTTTTCAATTAAAAAAATTATTTAGCAAGGGAAATAGGGGCTCCTGAGCAGCTCAGGCAGTTAAGCATCTGACTTCAGCTCAGGTCATGATCTCAGGGTCCTGGGATCAAGTCCCACATCGGGCTCTCTGCTCACTGGGGAGTCTGCTCCTCCCTCTGCCTCTGCCCCACCCCGTGTTCCCACTCTCTCTCTCTCTCCCCATCTTAAATAAATAAGTAAAAATCTTTAAAATAAATAAATAAAAAAGAAAACAGGTTGACAATCAAAAGATTTCTAGACGAATGCAGCATGTCCTGAAGGCTTAATAAAATATAGAAATGCTTAGTACACAATTCAGATTCACTATGAATAATAAAATTATAGATTCAAATTGGAAGCTATGAGGAGTCATAGTTTCTCATAATTTGGGAACAATTATGAAATAAGAATTTGGCATAGAAAACACTGGAAAGTTTCATACTGGATTATAGAACAGAATTCGCTGCCCAAACTAAGGTAAGCTTGAGACAGATTTGAAAGAGAACACAAACTCATCTTTTCCCCCCTATGATTTCCTTTTTTTCTTTTTAAGATTTTATTTATTTATTTAGGAGAGAGAGAGCACACACATGAACGGGGGGGGGGGGGGGGGGGGGAGGGAGAGGCAGACTCCCTGCTGAGCGTGGAGCCAGACATGGGGGGCTCAGTCACAGGACCCTAAGATCATGACCTGAGCCCATGGCAGAGTGACTGAGCCCCCCAGGAGGCCCCCCATGCTTTCTGAGGCAAATGTGGTAAAACTTTTCAAAGGAAAAATGTGTTCCACAATATAGAAAGGAAACTGACAGCTGGAATGAGATCCTCCGCTACCTCCCGCCAAGAGAAAAGAAAAGCACAAAACATACCGCTGTGACCTTCTTAATGCCCATCACCAATGTGATGAGCACTGGGTGTTACACACAACTGACAAATTATTGAACACTACATCTGAAACTACTGACGTACTATGTGTTGGCTAATTGAATTTAAATTAAAAAGAGGAAAAAAAAATGCCATGGTGAGCCTTTCCTGGGGGGAAGGCAGGGAGAAGAACATTCATTATGTGGTATTCTATGAGCACTGTGCCTTGAAATTAGGGGCTCTGAATTTTTCGAAAATCTGCTCTATAAACACCAATAACAATGGCTTACATTCGTGCCTTATTTTATCCTCACAGAAACATTTCCATGACAAAGAACAAATCAAGGTAAAGAGAGGTTAAATACTTGCCTGAAGGGGGCGCATGGGTGGCTCAGTGGGTTAAAGCCTCTGCCTTGGGCTCAGGTCATGATCCCAGGGTCTTAGGCTGGAGCCTGAGCCTCACATCGGGCACTCTGCTCAGTGGGGAGCCTGCTTCCTTCCCTCTCTCTGTACCTGCCTCTCTGCCTACTTATGATCTCTATCTGTCAAATGAATAAATAAAATCTTTTAAATAAATAAATAAATAAATAAATAAATAAATAAATAAATAAATAAATACTTGCCTGAAGTCATATGGCTTATAAGTAGATGTGGTGTTTGAACCCAAACCCCGCATTCTTAGCCCCGAAACTCTTCCTCCTCTCCTAATGAACAGTGAAGAGCGTGGACAGAAACTCTTCTTTCTTGTCTACTTGCCTGAACCTGACCTAGCCTCCGGAGACAAGCTGATCCCTGATTCCCGACCCTCATCTGAATGACCATAAAATTGACTCCATAGCTCCTTTCAGGGTGGAAAGAAACATGCTCTGTGATCTCCAGGCAGAGGCTCCCACCTCTAGCTTCATCTCCCCTACAGCAGAGATGAGGATTTTTTTTTAAAAGGTTTTATTTATTTGACAGAGAGAGACAGTGAGAGAGGGAATACAAGCAGGGGGAATGGGAGAGGGAGAAGTAGGCTTCCCGCCAAAGCAGGGAGCCCGACACAGGGCTTGATCCCAGGACCCTGGGATCATAACCTGAGCTGAAGGCAGCTGCTTAACGACTGAGCCACCCAGGCGCCCCAGAGATGAGGATTTTTAAGCTATTTGCGGAGTCTCGCCAATCTGCCTTTCTCACTACTGTCCTGGTATCTCATGTACCTTGAGCAAAGGGAGGCATTGAGGAATCGTTGAATTAATGCCCAGCTGACCAACCTCTGGCTTGATGGGTTATTTAAAATGTCATTTTACATAGAACCCACATCTTTTCAGAGTCATCCTAAAATCTTCAGTGACTAATAAAGGAATGAGATTCCACTTATTTTTATTTTTTATTTTTTTAAGATTTTATTTGAGAGAGCGAGCAAGAGAGCAAGAGCATGATAGGGGAGAAGGTCAGAGGGAGAAGCAGACTCCCTGCGGAGCTGGGAGCCCAATGTGGGGATGGGACTCCAGGATCATGACCTGAGCCAAAGGCAGTTGCTTAACCAACGGAGCCACCCCAGCATCCCAAGAGATTCCATTTAGCAGAGAAGCCACCAACCAAAAAAAGCTATCTGGAAAGACTCCTCACTGTTTAAGTAACCCCTAGTGAGAAATGAATCTTTACGTCTGTACAGCCTTAAAAGTTAGCACCCCAACCAGTAATTCCTTTAACATGATGTGCTTTATCTTTGAAATAAATTCTTTTCCTATTATTTACATATTTATATATTTTGCCTTTTTTGGTGTATTGTTGCTTCATTTAGAGCTTTTTCCTTCCTGCTCTTCTAGTTGTTGAGATCCTGAGGGACCCTGCTGGCATCTTTAACAAGCAACACTGTACTCCAAAATTTGTCTTATGTGGAGTTTCCCTTTATCTGGTGTTACTTACAACTGCTGGCGAGGGGACGTGGATGCTTGCGACCGATCGCGGGCGGATGTGATTGACCAGGTGGCAGAGAACCACACCGTCCATGAGTGCGGCCCCCAGGTCTTCGTGCAGGCTGACCTTGAGTCTCATCTCGATGCTCTGGGGGAGGAATCAGAGGGAATCCAGTTGTCATCAGGCAACAGAGGATCAAATACAGTGATGGGTGTTTATGAATTGAGACATTAACTTCATTATGAGGAAGAAGAATAGGAACACTTAGAAAACACTTCCATTATCTAACTTTTTCCAACAGATATTGTAGTAAAAATCCTGCTGTAGAAAAACAAATCCAGCTGCGCCTAACATTTTTAGTAAGTTGAGTGAATGGAATACTAGAATTACTTCTGGAGTTCCATGTTGCCTCAGCCTTGGCTATGGAAGTACAAAACCAGAATGAGGTGATCAATGGAAAGTTCTGACAGTTCTGGTTCTGACAGTCTGCCAGGAGTAGAGGAGGGATTAAGGGATGCTTTTCTCTTAGACTTTGTTTTTGCTGAGAATCAATTTTTTGATTTTAAAAAATTGAATTTTCCATTTTGAGATAATTACAAATTCATACTTGGTAACAAGAAATAACAGAGATCCTGTTGACCTTTCACCCCGTTTCACCTGAAGGCAACAACTTGCAGAAGCATACCAGGGTACCACAGCAGGGTGCCGATATGGATACAGTCAGAATCTGAGCTATTTCCATGACCACCTTCCTAATGGTGCATCTCTACAGCCACACCCACCTCACTCCCACCTGGAGTATAGCTTCAGCCCTGCTGTCCTTTGCCTTTCCTTCAAGGCTCCCATGACATGAATACTGACCATCTGCTACATTCCCTCAGGTCCCTGAGGCTCTGCTCAGTTATTCTCCATCTGTTTCTCTCTGTTGTTCAGACTAGGCAACCTCTATCACTTCACTGTCACCTCCATTCTGCAGTTGAGCCCCTCCGCTGGGCTTTTTGTTTGGGATAACGTGTTTTTCAGCCCTTTACTTCCACTGTCTTCTCTTTCTTTGTTAAAGATTCTCTCTTTCTTTACTGACGTACTCTACTGTTCCTCTTTGTTTCAACCATGTTTGTAATTGCTTGTTGGAGCATTGTTATCATGCATGCTTTAAAATTTTTGTCAGGTAATCCTAACATCTCTGCCATATTACTGCTGTCAGCTGTTGACTGTCTTTTTGCATTCAATTTGAAATCTTCTGGTTCTTGGTAGGATGACTGACTTTTTTTGTTGAAACCTGGACATTTGCCTACTATGTTAGGAGACTCAAGATCCTATTTAAACCTTCAGTTTTAACTGGCTTTTGTGGACACCGCTCTGGCAGGAAATGGGGGTTACTATCTTATTACCGCTGGGTAAATGCAGATATCTATGCTTCCCACTTGATCTCAGTTAACTTGGTGGAGGGAGGTTCTAACTGCTGGATGCAGGTGGAAATCCAGGGTCCCATGTAGTCTCCATTGACGCCATGGTAGGAGATGGGCTTGTTCCCAGCTAGCATGGAGGAGACTCCTGGCTCCTGTTTTGGTCTTCTCTGATACCACCAACCAGGGGTGGAAGTCGAGCCTGCTCCATCTTTGCTGCTGGCATGGATAAGGGAGGAGCCACAGTATTTTCGGATGTTTAGCTGGAGTAGAGCATTATTGTCTAAAGGTTTTTATCTTGCTAGGTTGTTCCTTTCTTGGTACTTTGGCTAAGATAAGCAAGCTTTTGGGTGGCCTTTTAAAAGGAATTGTGCCCAATAGCATTTCTGGGTTTCCAACTACTTCAGCTCCAGGTCTGAGCTATATGAGGCAAAAAAAGAAAACCCACAGAACTCACCACTGTGTCATTTCTATTCCTGAGGGCCCCTGGCAAGTCTGCTGTCTTCTCTCTACCTTTCCGAGTATCCTTATGTTTATTTTGTATGTTATGTCCAGGGTTTTTACTTGTACTTAGTGAGGGAAATAGGGAAAAGTAGGTTTGTTCAATCTTCTCAGAAGTAGAAGTAGAGAAATTAACTTTTTAAACTTCAAATACAAATTTCTATTTTATAACAGTGGTTCCTGTTAAATGGATAACAGCCAAAGAAAGAATGACTTAATTCGGAGATTTGGAATAAATGAAGTGCTAGAAAACCAGTGCATAATACAGCATCATGTAATTCCTTTTCAGAACATTCTTGTGTGTAGACACCTACCTTTCTTCTCCATACTCTTTCAGTCCCTTATTTTACATCATAAATGAAAATGTAAACAACAAACATAACCTAAACTTTAAGATAAAATTATGTCACTCTTTGAGAGGCATCTCTCAGTTTCAATCTTATTTTTACCTACCTCTGAAAATTCACCTCCCAAACTTACAGTATATGCAAGTGCTCTAGGCAAACAACAGAGGTCTGACTTTTTCCCTGTGACTAATAAGCCAACCACAGTGACTTAAAGTGGTGGTAAAAGGTTTCTGCGTTTTTAATTTTCCTTCTGACTACCTGCTAAATCATATATAAAGAATCATCTGCAACAACACAGATGGGGACCTACCTTAATTTGGTTTAATTTTATTTATGGGATTCATTTCTCATTTGCATAACTCATTGCCATCTGAAATTATGTTTATTTTTTTCCTTCTTATTTACTATCTCTTCTCATAGACTATAGGCTCCCTAAGAGTAGGGACCTTTATGTTCTCTCCTCTACCCATCTCCTAGAATACTGCCCGGCACACAGAAGCAGTCAATAACCATCTCCTAGTGAAGGGAGAAGATGTTACCTTAAGTCTATCCCCTCTAGACTTCCTTACACTCTTCTGGGTCATGATTATGGTACTTCTCCTTGAATATAAAGGACTTATGAAGCAATTCATGATGTACTGACTTTACTAACTAATACCAATGTGTTCTCTGACCCAGGTACTGCTATTTGATCTCTCATATGTTCATGTATGAGCTCTCTAACTAGATACAAAGACCATGAGGATAGACAAACAGCTACAGAGTGCCCACCAGAAGCTGTGTGGGAATAGAAATACAAACAATAAGGCAGCCATGTTCCCTGCCATTGCCAAGCTTAAAAATCGTCATTGGAAAGACTAGCGCAAGACTTCATCCTGGATAGGAACTCAAATGCTTTGCTTGAGTAACTAATTACAAAGTTCTGATCAGTTGGGATGCAAAGTAGGGTAATGATGAACATCTTTAAATTAATGGAATATTATTGCTAAGCAGAAGAATGACAGTGTATTATTTTAAAGCGTACCTGAACTGAACCAGTACTAGGTTTAATCCATATGTATTTCTACTTCCATTATCTCATATATTCCCCACAAAACCCCACTAAGATGGGAAGTATTTTTTTAATACATGAAAAAACCTGAAATCAGGGATGTTATGTGAGTTGCCCAGTATCAGTCAGAAGGTGACCTGAATGAAGCCTTTTTGCAGTGCTTCAAAGTCTGTTTTTCAAAAGTAGAAAATGCTGCCTCAATTCTGAAAATGGGTATTCAGTGATGGACTGTTTCTGGGGGAAAACGTGCGTTCAGTGATGGGCTGTTTCCGGGGGAAAAGTATGTTCAGTAATGGACTCTTTCTGGGGTACCTCACGGAGTTGTTCCACCAGTTCCTTCTCTTCTCTCATCTGTTCCATTTTCCTCCGAATTGTAAACTGTGGGTCTATAGATTCCAAATTTCTCTGAGGTCTTAGAAACACTGTAATAAAAAGGGGGGAAAAAAGCCTTTACTGAGTGCCCGCTATAGGTTGCCTTATAGGACGACTTGCATGTAGTTAAGTAAATAAGGCACTTACCACACAGAAACAAATTCTGACTTCACATGGAAAGCTCGATTTGAATATTCTAAAAATTATATTTTAAACTGTACCGAGTTATGCAGACTAACAACAGTTATATTTTTGGTGATAATAGACTGAATTCAGGGAAGGGTGTGGTTCATCCTTGGGACCATGCCAGGCCACAGCTCTGACTGGTGTCCCCTCTCTCATGTTCTCCCTGCTTTCATCCTAAGTGTTCATTTATACATGGGGTTTTATGATCCTTTCATAAATTAAGATAATTTTATTCAAAGAAGAGGACTCTAGAATTGCTTTACACATTAAAAATGGGCACAGGTTAATATTTCTGTTGGCCAAATTTTTTATAAGCCTGAGTTAAGGACAAGAACTAAGTGATACAAGATTATGTATTTTAAGTGTGGAGTGGAAAAACTCCACCTTCTATCATGTCACTGACAGTATATCCAAAAAGTTAGTTCTTTAGAAATGACCACAGCCTCCTTTTAGAAAAGCTGGCAAGATGAGAAGCAATTTAAGAGATCATCCATGGCTTCACGTCTTTAAAATTACAACCATCACGAACAGCGACTGACAGCGGAGCTCCCTCTGAAAGGCAGGGGGCCTCAGGCTCCAGAGAAAATAAAGCCTGGAAACCCCTGAAGGCTAACATTTTGTAAAGACTAATAAAGAAGGTAAACAATATTCTACATAGGGCAGGGTGATTCCGGCAAGGATTTTAATCACTTTTTATTATGATACAAAGCCCAGGGCAGATTTACATTTTAATTTTTTTCTTCCTTGAGATTTTTATCCCGAGACCGTCAACTTCCCATTCACAGAGGAGGGAGCAAGGTACTGGTAAGAGCCATATTTGCTCACCCTGTCCCACAGACCTTCATGGGGGTCTATGACCCACAGACCGCATGGGGGGTTTAGGAGGGTGAGGTGGGTTGGGGAGCCCTCCAGGAAATTCTGGGCAGACAACTTCAGTTTTAAAAACCATGGCCACAGGGAAGGTTGCATGACTACTGCAATTCTAGTAATTTCAATCACCATAATTTAAATCATGTAAACAAGAAGGTCATGCAACTTTTATTCTATTCTGACAAACACTTCCTACAGGTCACTTTACTTATTTTTTTTAAAGGTTTTATTTATTTATTTGATGGAGAGAGAGGGAACACAAGCCAGGGGGAGGAGGAGAGGGAGAAACAGGCTTCCTGAAGAGGAGGAATCCCAATGCGGGCTCAATCCCAGGACCCTGAGATCATGACCTGAGCTGAAGGCAGACACTTAATGACTGAGCCACCCAGACACCCCTTTATAGCTCACTTTAAAAGCTACCTCAATTTGCTAATTTTTTTTCAATTTACTAAGTTCTAAAAATTAAATATAGTTTATAAATATACTTAGAATAGAAAAACCTGAGTCCACTCCCTATAATCAATTACTCCATGCTCACCCAAATATGTCATCTTAATCTCAATGTATGGTCCAAAGTGTACCTTTGGACCAAACCACCTTAATAAATGACTTGTGTGAGGGCACCTGGGAGGCTCAGTTGGTTAAGGGTCCGACTCTTGGTTCTGGGTCAGGACTTAATCTCAGGATCCGAAGACTGAGCCCCGCATTGGGCTCTGTGCTCAGTGTGGAGTCTGCTTCAGATTCTCTCTTTCTTTCCCTCTCAATCTGGCCTTCCCACTTATGCGTGCACTCTCTCAAATAAATAAGTATATAAGCCAATAAGTAAATAAATAAAATGACTTGCATTAAGCTTCTCACATCTCAGTATTTTCTAAGTCAGTTGCAGTGTTTGTGAATCAGCATTCTGATACTCTGTGGAAGATTAGAAAGTTGTCTTAATATACCCTTGATGTACAGTAAATGGAGAAAGAGGGTGGTCTACTGGACGTAACACCTTCTGGAACCTCAGGGAGGAGTCAGCCTGGGGCCTGGGCCCCTGTTTCAAGCCATCCAGGAAAGTCACCGGCAAAAAGAGCCAAAGACATGTCACCAAAGGGCTGTCACCAAGACCTACAGAAACCAAACCCCAGGAAGTGAGACCGATTATTTAAAAAATCAAGGCAAGTCCAGCAAAGGAAGTAGGGTAGTGTAACCCAGCAGGGAGAGATGAGCAGTTCACAGAGCTAAGGGAAATGAGAAAGTAGACAAACTGGGAAGAAGGGAAGAAACTGGAAATGCATTAAGCTTGCCTTTGCATCCTTTCAAGACCAAGGAAAAACTCTACCCATTTAACAGAGCATCCAGAAGAGATATGTATTGAAATGTAAATCCACACCCTCAAAGAAAAGAAGTCAACCAAATTTACCAAAAAAGTCAAGGAATGTGAGCAGAGTTAAGTAATTTATACACTAGCCAGCAAGGGGCGCCCCAACATTGTTTAAACAAAGCTCATGTTTTCTTTGGAGGTTTTATTTCCCTTTGCCTTTTTTCTAGGGGGCAATCTTATCTAATACAGCATGCTTAATATTTTCAATATGTTTTTATTGGCAGATTTCTTTCTGAATACGAAACTATCAGGAAGTTAAATTAACCGTGAGCTTTGTTTAACAGCCCACAATTCAAGTATCTACACCTTGTTAGAGCCCTATGTGAGATAAGATATTACAATGGTGTCTGGGTTTTAATGTCCCAGCATCCCTTTTCATCTTAAATTCCCGTGCATCTTAAAAATATAAAATGCATACTTGAGTATTTGCTCTATGAATGTTAAGCATCACAAAGTGTTAAAACACATTTGTATTGTTTTTTTTTTAATGAATACTTCAAATGTACCTAAAGTTATTGGAAACCATGACTATAGTACTACTAGTTTTCTAAATGGATTAATTACTGTGGACTATATGAGAAATTAAAACGAACTCTCTAGGCTAATAATAAATCTACAGAGCACATAAGTGCTTGCTTATTTTGCGAGGTATGTTATGAGAGAATCATTTTAATGGGAGCATTATGGTAGCTCCAATTCTATGGTAATACTGTAGGTTTTTTTTTTTTCTTTTCTTTCAGATCATATTTAAATAATACATGGAGTGACCAGCCTGAACCAAAGATTTGGAAAATTGATCTATAGAAGAATTATTGATTTTTTCCCCCTTAATTTCAATTACTAAATTTTAAGAACCTCCTTACTTAATTCGGGGGGCAGGGAGTTTAACTCAAGGCTACAAGACAGTATTAAGAGGAGCTGCACTGTCTGTACCTGTTTCTCAAATCAAATGCCACCCTATTTAAATGTAAGTAAGAAGGAGAAGAAGAGGAAGAAGAGAGCAGAGTGAGTGTGTGGAGGACTGTGTGTGTGTGTGTGTGTGTGTGTGTGTGTGTGAAGAGATGAAGAAGTAGGTGATTTAAGGGTGATTTAAGATACAGGAAAAATAAAAAAAAAAAAAGATACAGGAAAAATTAGTCTTTCTTAACTTTAATAAATAACATTTATAATTATATAATATATATTATATTTTTATAAAATTATTATATAAATTATATTTATATTATAAATTTATATTATATAATTATATAATTATATATAATTATAATAATATAATTTCTTAACATTTAATAAATAACTTAACTAATAAATAACATGCAATGAATGGAAAAGATGATTTGCTCCTATTTGTAATTTATTTAGCAGAAGAGACAAATCTCAAAGCAAAGCCCCTGAAAGGAATGATGAATATGTTTGTGCAGAATGTCAAATTCATCTTTGCAGGTACAGGTCAAATTCCACAGATTTTTCCATTATCTCTGGTACTTCCTTTACTTTTCTCCTCATCCTCATCCCCGACCTGGGAGTGATCTATCAACATACAGAATTCTTTATCTGTGTCTCTCTCATGGCACTCATCACTTTCTCTCCTACAGTATAGATCTGTTCCTCTCCATTATGACTGTTTAAGAATTTATGTCTGTTTCCAATTTGTATGTCTCCTCCTGCCCCACAAAGCAGTTTGAAAAATGAAACAAGTCTTCCAAAAATTCTCTCATTCAAAGATCAGCCTATTTGGAGAGTATCTCTGCAAAGATTATTCCACCCTGATAATCAGTCACCTCAATTTTTTCTGTCATGAAAAATCTACGAAAGCTTGGTTTCCAGGTCTGAATTCATTAGACTCTGAAATAAAAGTTCTATAAAAGCAGATACCTTGTTTGTCTTTTTCAGAGTTATACCCGTAATAACGAACATCATGCCTAGCACAAGGTAGACAATAGACATTTAAGAATGTGAACAAGAAACCATTTCTCTGTTTAAGAATATCGTTTTAGGGGCGCCTGGGTGGCTCAGTTGGTTAAGCCACTGCCTTCGGCTCAGGTCATGATCCTGGAGTCCCAGGATCAAGTCCCATATTGGGTTCCTAACTCCGAGGGGAGTCTGCTTCTCCCTCTGACCTTTTCCCCTCTCATACTCTCTCTCAAATAAATAAATAAAATCTAAAAAAAAAAAAAGAATATTATTTAAAAAAAGGTTCATTTATTTATTTTAGAGAGAGAGCATGGGGGAAGAGGCGGAGGGAAAGGGAGAGAGAATCCTCAAGCAGACTCCTCGCTCTAACACAGGGCTCAATCCCAGGACCCCGAAATCATGACCTGGGCCGAAATCAAGAGTCAGCCTTTCAATGAACTGAGCCACCCAGGTGCCCCAAGAATATCTTTTAGTTAAACCAAGAAAGCCCACTGCTCTATAAGTTGCTTAAAATGTTTATATAATTATTATGTGAAATGCACTCTTGGTATAGAGTTTATCAGTCTATATTATTAAACTTTATTACCTAAATTTAACTCAGTGAGAGATGCTTGTCCATGGATGTATGGGGTTTTGAAATTTAGCTCTCAGTTTATCCTTGGAAGTTAAGAACCAGGACTGGGAGTGATGTTTAAGATACACAAATACAAGGGC